CGAAATTTAAATGGCAATGCCAACACACTCCACATCTTGACGACAACATGCTCGCACAAAAAAATCGACACACCGATCCCTCATATTCCCTGTATCCTCATTACATCAATTCTTAATAAAGTGTCTATGCGTGTGTGGGAGTGGGTATGAGATTCAGGGTGTGGATGCGATTGTGGGCGAAGTTGGAAACAAATAAGTCTAGCTCAATTTATCCTGCAATAATTTGGGTGGTGGCACAGTTGGAAACAGCTGTGTCAAGCTCAGTATTTCCAACAAAAAGGGTGTAGACCGAGTGAAAGCTGTGGTTTACCGAGTGGGTGTAGATCGGGTAAAGGCTGTGTTTTAGCGTGCAGATGTGAGTGTGTTGGGGTTAAAGATGTGAATAAGATCTATATGAAGAAGCCCACACCCATGCGGACAAGCCTGTATGCACACCAAACCCTACGTTGTTATTAATGTAGAGTGGAACTCTCTAGCGACAACACCATCCTGAAGGCGTGAGTGTTTTCTTGATCTCTGATTTTCAGACGGAGGCACAGCCACAGTCGCTCATCCATCGTCACCCTTAGCCACAGTCACACCTTGCTCTAAATTTTATCTCTACCACATAGTATTGAAGTATTCATAATAAAGCACGTTGAGTTTTAAGCATTTTACTCGAATATGGTTATAAACGTACCGTCGGTTAAAGGACAGATTTCGTGAGTGTGAAAGATCCGAATATCATTCTGTCCTCCGATTTACGATGTAATCCGATAGGATCCTTCATTTGAAATTAAAAGAAAAAGGCTACTTATGAAAAGTCATATATTTATTAAATACCGGTCAGTGCTTCGATCCTCATCTTCTTGCAAAGTAAAAAGACGATTAATGAAATCCTTCATAATTTATTGATCTGTGAAAATATTTTTATTTTGTATTTTCCTTATTGAAATGACTATAAACACACGAGAAAAAAAAAACAGTTCAGGTTAGAAATTAAAAGAATACATAAAAGAAAAATAACTGACTCAATACAACCATAAATAATATAGATATACGTATATAACGAAACAAGGGTTCACACGCATGCAAATAATTTTTTTATTCTCTTAACGTTTTCTAGTTGATCGATTTGTTGTTGGTACAACAGTTGTACTTATACTTCGTTCTTCATCTAAATCATCATCCGTTAATGCAGCTGATGCAAAACGTGGTGTTGTTGCACGAATTATTTCATCGACAGATGCATTTCGATTTTCATATAATAATATATTTAATGTTTCTTCATATATTCTTGCTTCGAAAAATTCAACCTTATTTTGTTTTCGTTCCGTTGCATAAACAATTGATGTACAACAAACTTCAGCCATTTTTTGTCCATTACCATAAAAACTCCAACAACATATTTCTTCACTTCCAGTTACATCTTTAATAAATAATATTCTGTTATGTAAACGAATACTTAATTTATCAAATAATTCAATATTTTTCATTAACATTTCATCTGATGATCTAACAAAAATAAAGAAAAAGGTTTTTTTTCCCAGAATTTATTTACATCTAATTAACTTACGCCGTATATGAATATTTGTTATTATGTCGATTAATAGCTAATTTAACAATTGGTTTACGTACTGTTGTGACTATATTTGGTAATTCTTTTGCTGATGTTAACATAATTACTTTACAACAAGCATCTGTATCACCGGCATTTTTTCTTGAACGTGTTCGTAATTGTTGTTCAATAAGTTCAATAAGAGATTCTATACAATAAAATTTTGCTTCATGTAATAATTCATTTAATATTTGATTACATTCAGGTAAATTAATTGTTCCATCACGTAAATAATTTAAAATTAAATCAAAATGTTTACCATCACGATCAATTAATACCCAACCTTCACTATCTTGTACAACTTCCATACGTCCACTAAACATTGCTTTGAACATCGTATCTTCTTTAGTTAAAGTATCAAAACTAGTTAAAAACAAATGATTTCCCACATTAAGTTTAACATATTTTCCAAAATGATTAATCTGTCCTGTCATGGTATTTCTAGTCGATGTTGATATTGATGGAACAGTTGGTGTAGTTGTATCACTCATCTAAAATTCAAGTTTTCATATATGTATATTTATTGACATAATAAACTCTTATTATCATGAAAATAAATGTAGTAAACAAGAAATACAAAAAACAAAATATCAGTACAATTTCAAATGACGCGTTATCTCATTGATCGATTTTGAGGATGCTGAAAATAAATCAAAAGAAAATTATTTTTAACAATTGCATATTATGTTAAGTACAAACCTGGTCCAATTCCAAGTACTGTTTTACTACCAGGTTCAATTTGTGTTCGTCCTAAGAAATTAAATTTATTTTAAATTATAAAATAATTTATTATCCTACCTGCATCTCGTATCAAACAAGTTGTAAGACCTTTACGTTTAGCTTGACGTCGTAATTCTTCTCTAGAAGAAAAAAGAACTGAATGAAATTATTTATGTTTTCAATTTATGTTTTTTTGTTACAAATCATCAGCTGATTCACATTTACAAACAACTTTAGCTTGTCCACCAGAAAACCATGTATCAACAGCATCAGGAGTTTGTTCACATGCTTTTTGAAAACAACCAAGTGTAGCATGAGAACACTAGAAAATAATATTAGATTTCATTTATTATTTAATACATATATTCACCTGTGCTGCGACTTTTCCTTTTCCCATTTTAAGATCATTTCTAACGACTAGTACCATCTAAAATTAGATTGATTTTATTTTTTCTAAAATAAATATTATTTGACTAACTTACTTTATATTCTCCTTCAGTATCTGAACAACCTGGTTCGAACTATAAATAATAATAATAAAAAGAATTTTGTATAATTTAAAAACAAAGATTTTTATTTACACTTAGGTCATCTTCAGGATCATCTTTACCAGAATCAAATGCATTCGAAACAACTTTGACACTATTATTAACAAATAAAGATGAGCTAAATAACCAGCCAAGGGCTAGACCTTGAAAATATATATAAAATGATTTATTATACATAAGTTTTTCTTTTCATATATATTTTTACCGCCAAAAAA